GAATCACCAATGGAGAATTCCTGGCACACAGTAAGTGCTCAGGAAATGTTGGCTCAGAGGAGAAGAAAGGGCGTGGGAACCAAAGCTGCACAACCACCATTTGGATAGAACATGGAGCCTGCTGAGTGGCCGGGACAGGATCCCTCCTGGCAACCGCAGCCACAGGTACTGGCCTGGAGCGCCCGGTCCTGCATCCCCACCGAGCCTCCACTGGGGGGCGCCCTGCAGGAAGGAGCGGGCAGCTCCCCGCCAGACCCTACCTTTTTCGTCAGTGCCTTGGGGAGGGTTCCAAAGTGGGGTTCGGCTGCTCTGTCCACAGGGTTGTTGATGTCCGAGGGGACGGATTCCGTCCTCCGGAGCCTTGTTACTGTTGGAAAAGGGAGGAAACCCATCAGCAGGGTCACACCAGGCTAAGGAAGGTTCCAGACCACTAGCCCCCCAGGGAAAGGGGAGAGGGCGGGGCACTCACGTGGGAGGAAGGATATTCTACAGGCCGGGGCTTCTTTCGTGCACTTGTTGTGACACTTCAACCTGGTAAAGGGGGCAGAGTCAGCTCTGATGCACGTCATCAGAGCAGCTGTGTAGCTCTCACCCCCACTGCCTCAGTTTCCACAAACTTCTCAACAAACATTAGCTCCAAAGATCACAACACTCCATCGAACTGCAGCTGCCTGCCATGTTCTGCAGTCCTCTACTGGTTCATCGTGGCCCCTGTGACTCACGGCAGGTCACACATGTATTCCTCCCATCTAAAGAGAAGATGACCTGCCACCCAGCTTCAGAAAGCTGGAGGCAAATCTGAACTTACAAAACACAAATGAGAATGTGTGCATTACCCAAAGGCCCTAGGGGTCCCAAGGGCAGCCCCTGGACTCAGGCCAAGATAGGGAACAGTGTGGGTTGAGCCGTGGGTCATTGGCTGTCCACTTGTCCTGCTTTCCCACTAGAAACTACAATGCTAGGAGAAAATAAAGCTGATTTTGTACAGAATCTACATTCTCTTCTCACTCTTGCCCTTCAGAAGCCAACTCTGTTTTTACCCCTGCCTGCCGGTCTCCGACTCCTCATGTGCTGAAGTGTAAGGCTGAACTTCAGAACTCCCTACAATTCCCAGAACAGGCCCCTCTTTCCTCCTGGACTCTGGATTCCTTCTCCCCTAGTCTAACTGCTGAACTTCTATTCATCCTTCAAAGCCCACCTCAAATACCTGCTTCTTGCAGGGGTGCCTCACTTCAATTCCCCTAGGGAGGCCTGGTGTGCTGAATGGGATTATAGGTAGCAGGTTATAAGGAACTCTTGACCTTGGACTTGACCTGAGGCCATGGATGAAGTATCAGGACTGCTCCTGAACTCCAAGCATTTCTCCCTCCCACCCTCTGCTTTCACCTGCAGTGCTTGCACTTCACTCCAAACATCATGCTCTTCTGGCACACGTGGCAGACCTGCGACAGCCAGGACTTGGTGGAGAACCTGCAGCGGGTGGACACAGAGGGGTTCCCGGGGGCTGCATCCCAGAGCCCCAGGAAACCTCTCCCAGGGACCATTAGTCCCCCCCCACACACACACACCAAGTAGATTTCCCAGCCACAAAGTCACCAGTGTCCACATTCTCCAACTGGTGCAGTCACTGGTGCTGAATTTGGCAACAGCAATCAAAATCACCCATGGGCTTCCCCTTTAAGCCAGCAACTAGGTCCTAGGAATTTACCTACAGAGCCTCCCCCAAGTGTCAAATCAGCAAGGCATCTCTGCAGTATGAATACAGCAGGAAGACCAGAAATGACCTGTGGCCATCACCAGTGACTGACTAAAGCAGGCTCTGGCTACACAAAAGAACACTGCATGGGGCTGGGGCTCAGCGGTACAGCGCTCGCCCAGTATGTTCAAGGCCTTGGGTTTGATCCTCAGCACCATATTAAAAATAAACAAACAAATGAAAGACATCATTAAGAATATCTCAAAGGATTGAATTTATATAGAATATTGTCCCTTAATTTAAAAAAAAGAAAAGAACACTGCAGCCAGAAAATAAAACCAGGAAACTCCTTTTGAGCAAATGCTAGAGAAATATAAATATAAAATATAAAAAAAAATAGAGAGCAAGCTTCAAGTCACATCATCCACTGATAAAATTAAGGTCTAATATCATTTAATGTTAATATGATTCCATTAATACAGAGTTCAAGCACAGGAAAAACGCATCTATGACGGTAGCCACGAGTAGTGATTGCGCAGTGGTGACATTATCAATTGCGAAGAGCCAAAGCAAACTTTTTGGTGTGCTGGAATTTCTGTATCTGCATCTGCCTGGTCTCAACAGGGTCTATGTACATAAATGCACATGTGCATTTTGCTCTAAATAAATTATGTAATTTTTTAAAAAATATTTTTTTAGTTGTTGATAGACCTTTTTATTTATTTATTTATTTATACACAGTGCTGAAAATTGAACCCAGTGTCTCAGACATGCCAGGCAAGTGTGCTACCACTGAGTCCCAGCCCCAAATTATGTAATTGTAAAAAGAAAAAAAAAAGCAAAGTATAAAATAGTGTGTATAATATATATTATTTGTGTAAAGTAAAAAGCAAAAAACCAAATATACATATTTGGTAATTATAAAATCTCTCTAGGAGATAGATACAAAAGAAATTGGGGAGCCAGGAACAGGGGTGAGGGAGGACTTTTCTGTCTACCTTTTTAAACCTCTTAGATTTTGAACACATGAGTGCCTTTTCAGTCCCAAGTTTAAAACATTGAAAAAACAAAAGGTAGCCTAGAAGGCAGGATGCGATCGGAGCAGATGGAATCCTCCAGAAAAAGACACTAGGCCAGCCCACAGCGGGGGGAGACCTAAGAGCAGACAGATCTTTCGTTTTTGGAGGAATGTGAGTAGCATCGTGTCTGCTGTGTGTCCTTGAACATCAGCTCACTTGGTCACTATGACCACCCCTAGGAGTTAGGCAGGCCCGGGATTCTTAGTACACAGGCCAGAAGCCAGCTTGGACAGGTAGGTGGCAGGCCTGGCCTCCCTGTTCATGGGTGTCCTGCTGTCAAGGCTACGGGCACAGGTGTCCCAGCTCTGACAAGGCTCCATGTAGAGGTCTCTGGACTCAAGCTCTGCCTCACTGAGTGTGACCTCAGACACGGTGCTTGATCCTGGGGACCTGCAGCTGCCCTCTGGGAAACAACAAGCCCTGGCAAGGGGCAGCACCCATGAGAGCATTCCCTATCAAGCTTCAACAGCCTTTAACAGGGACAGCCAGAGCATGGGCATCCCAAGACAGTGTCCTGCTGGCCACCCAGGGGCTATGAGGTACCACCCAGACCTTTGGGGCCTGCACACACAGCCTCAGGAGCGATGAGGCCAAGACCTCTGGACAGTCCACATCAGGGGCCCACATCAGCCCTCTTCTACGTTTGTGAGCTCCAGTTACCGAAAGTTAAATATCCAGATGAGGAGCAGGCCTGGGAATGTGGATTTCCTGCAAGCTCCACAAAGCTCCTGATGGGTGGCCAGCCCAGGACCTCACGATGTCACAGGGTGTGAAAGAGGCTCTCGGCTCCTCCTTCCCACGACTTGACCCTATTCATCCTGGGACCCATGTCTTGGGAAGGGGAGAGGGCACTTTCCCTCAGCAGAGTGGGAAAGAGGCACAGGAGGGGCAGGGGAGGGCCCAGCAAGTCCATATGGCTGGCGATGAGGTGGGTGCAGGTTTATGTCACTCGAGGAGACAGACAGGCAGGCTAGGGGCAAAGAAACCTAGGCCACGACGGATGCCCCCGTCAGTGGGCCTCCCAGCACCCTCTGGTCCCAGCCCAGCTCTGCACGCCTCCCTACCTGGACTCACCTATGTGTCACCGAGAGGCCGATGTCCCTTCGTACCATCTGTGGGGATCCATGTGGAAGATCTGCAGGGAAAGAGGTCAGGTTGGGCAAGCTGAGGAACCTCTGCCTAGGACAGTTTACACCTGTGACCTTGCAGTTCAGAGGTCGCAGGCCAGAAGGGATGCTAGGTGTCACACAGTAGAGCAATGCTTACCTGAACCAACACCTATCAAGACAGGGACAGGCCAGCTAGGCCAGGGAACGGATGCCACCTCCCTCACACTGGGCTTATTCTCTGGTGGAAGCTGCCACCTGCCTCTGCAGGGCTCGGCCTGTGTCCCCGTGGGGTCAGCCTTGAAGGCAGGAGGCTAAGCACAGGTGGAAGTGGAAGCTTGACCTTGACCTTGGGTGGAGGCTCAGGGTTAGTTAACCAGCCTGTACCCTTCCTCCAGAGGCACCCTGGGCACACTCCTGAGAGCCACCTAGCCGGATCCAGACAGGAAGAGCGAGGACAAGATGAAGCCCCATATGGCCAACTCCACTGGGGCCCTACAGTCTGAGCTCTGGGGACATCTCAGGTACCCTCTTTCCTTGGTGAGAGAAGGGCCACAGGCTCTGAGATGCCCCTCTGCTTGCCTCCACGGAGGACATCCTGGGGACGCCTCTCCTGATCTGGCTCCCCCTAAGAACCAGTGTGTAAGGCCTGGTGGGTCTGGGTCACTGAAGGCTGCCCTATACACAGCTGGTGCTCATTGAGTGCCAATCCTTCTCACACGAAGGGGATTTTGATGGGGACAAAAGGCTGAAGATCAGGGACATCACGATCCTATCACCTGGGCTCTCTGGCTCATCTGCCACAGGGCCTCTCAACTGCCCCCTGGGTCCCTCCATACCCTGGGTCCCATGAGAATCCAAGGATGTCAAAACACAGGCTCTAGGAGGGGCTGGTGGCCAGCCTGCGAGACAGACAAGGGGCAAATGAGTCTTCAACTATCTGGCTCCGAACATAACCTGTGGTTGGTACCACTGGCCACAGGTGGGGGACAGGGACATGAGATGGCACGCATCCCAGGTGTCCCTGCTCCTGATCTGGATGGGACTAGTGGCCCTGAAGGCCTAATAGCCTTGCTTCTGTGGTTCCTGTGTTACCCCAGCAACAGGAGGATGACAGGGCCCAGGCTGTCTGGGGACGGGACTCACTGGACATTTCTCTGAGGTTTTCTTAAGGGTCTGGGGGCTCCTGTGTGTTCCCTGGGGACAGGGACATACGAGTTCTCTCCTTTCATATGCCCTGCCCCTGGGGCTCCAGCAGCAGCTCCCTGCAGCTCTGTCACTGCCTCCTCAACCCTGCCTCCTCCTGGGTCCCTTCCTGCCCCCAAGTCACTCTCCTTAGCCAGCTAAGGAGACTCCCCGGCTCTGCTGAGCGAGAGGCCCTGCAGGACATGCCAGATTCTGTGCCCATCCTGGAGGTGGAGGGGTGGAAAAGGGGGTCCAGGGTTGTCTGGTCTTCCTCCTCCCCTCCTGGGAGGACATCCGCACCCTCCAAGTCCGAGTTGCCTCAAGCAATGTCCCTCTTCTGGAGGGTGGGGTCCTGAGACACCAGCCAGGGCTCTGAGGACAGCTGACGTCCACCTGAACCTGGCCAATGGCACCTCCCTCCTCTATCAGAGCAGCCCAGAGAGCAAGTGTCCACCACAGAGGTCGCTGCAGAGATAGCAGGGTGGAGACAGGACTCGTCGCTGGACTGTGGAGGACTGTGACACTCTTAGAGTCTCTACTTCCCAGAGAGCAGCCACTGGCTGGGCTAAGGCCTGCCCATCATTTTTTATTTTTGTCCCCATAACTGGGGACTGAGCCCAGGGCACTCTACCAATGAGCTCTATGCCCCAGCACTTTTCCTTTTTTCTTTTCTTTTTTAAGGATGTAGCAAGAGGGAAAGAAACTGCACGTGGAGGTTAGCTAGATGGGGAGTGGGGAATGAGATGTTTAAGAAAGAGACTAAGTTGCCCAGGCCGGCCTTGAACTTGTGAGCCTCCTGCTGCTGCTTCCCACGTGGCTGGGATGATGGGCCTGTGCCACCACGCCCAGTTCTCAGTCGCTCATTCTAAGGCCACTGTAACTACTCCCTGCAGTGGTTCCCAGTGCCAGTGCCTCTGGACTATGGAAAGGCCACGAAGGTTAAGAGAGGGTCAGAGACGTCCACCCCCGATGGGGACAGCACCACAGACACGACTCCAGGTGGCAGAAGGGATGAAAATGAATCACTCTTACCAAACCTGGAGGAGACAAAAAGGAGAGAGAGGGATTATGTCACCACACCGGCTCGGCATGTCCCTAGAACACCACCCCTGGGGAGGGAGCAGGCCAGGGGCTGGGACGAGCGACAGAGGCTTGGCTTGGGGCCAGGCTGGCTGATGACTGTGGGAATTGCTGCATGCTCTGTGGAAAGAATGTGTCCTCGATGGGAAGGGCCAGGAAAGCACTCCTGGGGACACTGAAACACCACCTTGTGCTGGGCACTCTAATGTGTCAGCTTCCCGAAGCCTCGCCAGCCTGGGACAGGCCACCCCAGCTCATAGCCGAGGAACCGAGCTTCATGGAGTCTTAAGTCACATGATCCCTAAGCTGGGCCGGTCTGCTGGCCAAGTTGTGGCTAGGAAAGAGGATAGGAATAACAGCTACGCAGAGCAGGAGGGTGGCCCCCAAGAAGGGCCAGGGAGGAACATACTCTGAGCAATGCCTCCTGTGGGACTGCCATTGCCCCCAGGGATGCAAGGAGCTGGGGGGAAGGAGGACATTGCATCTGCCCTCCGGGCTCACCAAGGTGGCCTGAGCATCCGTGTCAGTGCTGGTTCTGGTGGCCCAGGGGAGGGTGGCTGAACTCAAGACTCCTAGGATCTAAGGTCAGTGATGTCACTGGCCTGACGCCCTGTACCCCACTGTATCAGAGGAACAGGACCAGGGCCTCCTCACCCTCTTCTCAAGAGAACATGAGAAATGAGCTCCGGCTTGAGTCCACCGTGAGGCCCCTCTGCCCACGTGGTAGTTACCACTGTGCTCCTCAGCCACATCTGCAGGGCACCCAGGCCCCGCAGGGCAGCCTGCTCAGTAGCAGCAGCATAGGGAACATGTGATTTCTCTGGTGCATTGAAAATCATCAGAGCTCTCCAGGGTCCATCCCTGCTTCAGGATAGGGAGAGTAAGCCCCACTCCACTGCCCACGATAGAACAGGGCCTGAGGAACCTTCTAGAAAAGGGGTGCCTGTGCCAAGAAGAGAAGCCAGGTGCCTCAGCTCTCGGGGGTACAAATAGTTAAGAGGGACCCAAAGAAAATAGCCCTTTTCCCCCTCGGTCCTGCCCACAAAGGCATATGGACAGGAGTGGGCTTTAAAATAGCTAAAAGGAGAGTGATCTAAAGGTCCCTCAAAAGAGGACAAGTTAGAACTGTGCAATACAGACAAGGTTTTAAGACAAGGTCATATGAATTATGACAGCTAATACGTACAACTGACAACCTGCTGGGCCCCTGAAAGAGGAGCCAGGCTACTCAGTAAAAATGGTGGGGGTGGGCTGGGGTTGTGGCTCAGTGGTAAAAGCACTTGCCTGGCATGTGTGGGGCACTGGGTTCAATTCTCAGCACCATGTATAATAAATAAGTGAAGAAAATACAGGTCCATCAACAACTAAAAATATATATTTAGAAAAAAAATGGTGGGGGTGCAAGCACCCCTGAGTGACAGATGGACATGAGGCCATAGTGCTACTGCATTTTTGGATCATGTGACTACCACTTCTTCAAAATACACAGAAATAAAAATAAATAATGAAGATATTTGAGCCAAATATTCTAGTTCTCCCCTTCTGGGCACATAAGAGAACTGCATCATTTGATTATCTTGTTTGGTAAAACTATGGATGGCAATGACTTCTAGGAAACGGTATAGCTATCTCTATCACAGAGAAATGGCTCAGGATTGATTCCAAGACCTCCTCATGGATATTAAAATCCATAAATGCTCAATAAAATGGCATAGTATTTACATATATATATCTATATATCTCCTATGTACTTTTTTGGTGATGGTGGGGGTACTGGGGATTGAACACAGTACTACTGAGCTACATACTCAGTTCTTTTTTATTTTTTATTTTGAGACAAGTTCTGGTTAAGTTGCTGAGATTGGCCTGGAGGTTATAGGCCTCCTGCCTCAGCCTCCTGAGTTGCTGGGATGACAGGAGCACCATGACACCTAGCTTAACCCATGCACTTTTTCCTGTATACTTTAAATCATCTCTAGATTATTTATCATACCTCATGCAACTACAAGAAAAAAAGTCTATACATGTTTAGTACACGTACAATCATCACAGGTTTAACTACATTCTATACATTAGCAACAAGATAAGTTTCTTCTTCCCAACATTTTCAATCCCACATTGGTTAGATCCTCAGATGTACAACTCCGGGATGCAGAAATCCAACTGTACTTAATTGCCAGTGCACAACATCTAGAATGCACTTTTTTCATGGCTATAGTGGTCTGCCTGTGACCTGGAAGGAGGCTGACCCACTATGGACCAGTAGTACAAATGAGAAATAAACGTTTGCTGTTTGAAGCCCTGGAGATTTGGGGGCTGTTTGTTACTGTAGCCTAACTCAGCCTACCCTGACTGATACCCGGCACTATCTCATTTGTGTGTATATGTAAAGAAAAAAAATCTAGTGGGCTTCAATCCAAACTGCTAATCTAGTATGAGGGGACAGACTGAGAGATGGGGGTACCTTCCGCTTTTAAGTTTATACTCTTTTCTGTTGGTTGGTTTTCTCTGTCCACAGTTCAAACTCACCTCATTGGGGAGACCTCGTCGATGCGGTTCCCCAGCTGAGACTCGTGGGACTTGCTCCGGGTGAGCGTGGGGAAGCTGGGCAGCAGCTGGAAGACCTTGCGGCTGGGCGGCGGGGGTGTCCGTGGTGGCTTCAGCTTGGCGTGCCGTCGCAGCTGGGGCGTGGTGGGCGGGGTGATGAAGCTGTGCAGGGCGCGGGGCGTCAGGCGGCCGCTGGCGTGCAGGGGGATACAGGTGTCCGAGAGGCCCTCTCCAAGGCCAGGGGCTGGCGAGTCCAGAGCAGGCAGCGCTGACACGGAGATGGAGCGAGGGCCCTGGCCACTGCTGCCCACTCGGCCCAGCTGCGAGCTCCCCGGTGGCCAGGGCAGGCTGGCAGGTGGGAGGGCATCTGCGCAAGGGCCTGAACTACTTTCTCGCCGAGCATCCAACGAACTCCAGCCTGAGTCCTCTTTGTGCTCACCTCCTGTGGGCCAAGGAGTCGAGTCACACCCAGCTGGGGACAGAAGGGATTTACAGATCCAACAGCCAGGGTCTGGAGAGGCTGGCACTTGTCTGAGGTGGCACCAGTCCTCAGTGGATGGCTCCAGCCCCTACCTTACCTGGCTTCCGAGCCTCCTACATCCCCACAACGCTTTCAGCCTGAAGCTGCCCACCAGAAATTGCTGTCTGCGCTGTGCCCAGGGGAAACAGGCCCAGAGATGGAAGGACTTGTGCAGGGATCTTACTGTCGCATCTAGGGGCAGCAAGCTGGGAACCCACCCTACCTTAGAAAAGAAAGCCGGGGGTGTGGAGGGAAGGGCAGGGTGGTCCATTCATCCCAGCACTGTGCTGGCTGCTGGGTTTAAAGGTACAGAAAAAGACACCCCAAGTTTGAAGAGACCAGCGGGGGTGACAGACACGAGACACAGCGTGCTGTGAAATGGGACAGGGATGTACGGCATTCTATGCAGGAGGAGGATGCTCCCTCTGCCTGAGGATGAGGGCTGAGCAGGCAGGTGAGGGCTGACCAGGCCGGGGGGGAAGGCCAATGCAGAGGCACCCGAGTACTGCCACCTTGCCATGTAAATGTAACTGCAGAGTCCCGTGTGCCCGAGAGCTCCGCATGAGCCCAGGAGGGGTAAGGGATGCAGATGGAGGGGTCAGCCCAGCTGGGGCCAGCTCAGGAAGGCCCCAGATGTCTTGCTAAGGACTTCAGGTTTGATCCAATAGGAGAGGGGGAGAACTGAAGGGTCAAGGGCAGGGGGCAAATTCAAGAGGCTCTCAGAGAAAAGAGAAGGTACTTCTCTCTCCACATGACCAAATGGGAGGACAGGAAGGGGGACCTTGGCTCAAGACCGAATGAGCTTCCACGTGGAGACCTTTCACAATGTGCTGCACCCGTCCCCTTCCCCTGATCCTCCCCGCAGTGCTCTCCTCACCCTGGTGTCCAGGGGAGGTCCCTATGATTGATTTAGAGAGGCCATGGACATTGAGCAAGGTCAGACAGCTATGAAAGTGGGGGGATGGGAGCTGAACCCCTTGATCTTGACCACACACCACTCCTTTCCCACAGCGCTGGGGAGGCTGGACACAGCGGAACAGCGTTGGAGGCAATGAGCTCTTGGTCCTCAGAGGTGGTCAAGCCTCGCCCACATGGCCCCCTGTGGCTTGGGGGTGTTGCTTTCACAGTTCATGGAGTTTCTTAGTGAGTTTCATCACCTTTGCAAGGAGCCTGCCCGCCCCCCACCCTCCGCCTTCACAGTATGACTTTGCAGTCATGAGTCACTTGGTGTTATGGTTTAGACATTAGTTGTCCCCTAAAAGCTCATGTGAGACAATGCAGGAAGAATTAGAGGTGAAATGATGGGGTTATGAGAGCCTTAACCTAATCAGTGCGTTCACCCCCTAGCAGGGGTTAACTGAGTGGGACAAAGGCAGGGAGGGTGTGGCTGGAGGAGGTGGATCACTGAGGGCCTGACTTTGGCGTCTATGTTTTATCCTGATGAGGACAGCTCTCTCTCTCTCTCTCTCTGCTTCGTGGTGCCATGTTTCCTCCACCACACTCTTCCACCTTGGGTCCTCCCATCAGGACCCAAAGAATGGAGTGGCCATCTATGGATCAAGACCTCTGACACTGTGAGCCCCCCAATAAAATTGTGCTCCTTAAAACTGTTCTTGTCAGGTCTTTTGGTTGGAGCAGTGAAAAAGTTGACTGAAACAACAGGGCAGAATGAGTTAGCCTTTCGGTTGCCGTGGGGCTTGGTCCTTTAGAACTGCAGCTGAAGCGAAGGTTGAGCCTATCTGCTGGCCTAGTGGAGGCGACAGGCACATGTATCTTGTTGAGAGGATGAAAAATTAAGTCCCATGAATCTATGCACAAGTCTGCCACCAAAGGAGACAAACTCCAAATTCTTCAAATTGCCTATTTAATCACCACCTCTTTGGATCACTATCAGGGATATGAATGGCAACACCGATGGGCAGTCGATTGGCAGTGGGGCTGCTTGAGAATGACAAGAGTCATTCAATAGAAGAGTTGATGGATTGATTAGTGATGTCTGCCGTGGACACAGCATGGGACAGATGGGCAGGAATGATCATTCTCTACTCACCAGCATAGAGAACTGCCCTTCACTCGCCTAAGGCAAGACACCACAAGGGACATGATGTTAATATTTTCCTCCGTCACTCCACAGGTCTAACTCTGGAAAGGGAATCTAAGCATAACCCCTTCACTAAGTTCATCTTCGCAACAACCCTGCGAGCAAGGGGCTGCTGCTACCTATTATTTCCAGTGTAGATGGGGAACCTGAGGCACAGTGAGGTTAAACAAGTGAACAAGGAGCATGAGTTGTAAGTGGCCACGCAGAGGCCACTTGGATTTCATGGCTCATTTTTACAGAGACTAGCCTGGGTGCATTGAAGATGCTCTGAATGCATGACCTTATCAAGTGACATTCTTGGCATCCATGCAATCCCCCCCCCACACACGCAGGTGCTAGTGAAGTACAGTCACAATCAGGCAGATACAGGCCCCCATCCTGGGCACATCCCAGCCCAGGATGCAGGGGTCTAGATGAGACTGAGTGAAAGAAAGAACCTGCAAAAGGTCCAGGTAAGAGATGGGGAGAACTGAAGGGTCAACGTCTCCCTATTCAGAACAAAAGGGTCAAGGTCTCTTTTCCAGGTCCGCTTCCTGGGCACAGTGGACAAAGGACCCTCTAAGGGAGAAACCAAAGTTCAAGGTTCATCTCTGGCCCATGCCAGGTTTGGGATTCCAGACATCTCACCAGATGCTGCCAATGCTTTGAACTGCAGCCACGTGCCTGGCACACAGTAGGTGCCTAAGAAATTAGTGATCTCCCTATCTTGGCATCTGGGACAGGCAGACAGCAGCCCTTGTGACTCAAATGGTTCACTACCACTCAACAGCTGGCTCCTCTACAGTTATTTAAAATCCAGGCATCCTAGAGGGAGGGCTGATGAGTCACCCCAAAGATTTCAGTTTGGGAGGCAAGTCCTACTCTCCACCACCATTGGAGTCTGAGGCTCAACCATTGCTCTGATACAAACTGCTGTGTGTCCCTGACCACACCCTCTTTCCTCTCTGGGCTGTCTCCTCCTCTGTAAAATATGAGGACAAGAATGCTAACCATGCCTCTATCATGTTTATGTCCAGCACCTGCCTGGAGTGTCAAGATATTCTTCATTGAGCGAAACTCTCTGCACAGCACTCTGTGTTCAGAGGACTTGGTATAATGCGGCCAGGGAAGAAATTAAACCCAGTCATCTCTGGGGGGAAAAAATCAAGGAGAATCTAAACCTCAGTGCTTTTCTTAAGCCTCAGGCAGCAGGAGATAAGACAGGCGGCTCAGATAATTAAAAATGGGCCTAATTCCATTCATTAGGCTCATTTTAAAGCTTTATCTGTGTGGCAGCAGGAGCGTTAAGTCAGGCATTTGAAGCTGTTTCCAAGGTAAGATTTTAGAAAGCCTGCAAATAATTCCCCAGGACCTAGTCCTAATGCCAGGATTACACACTTGGCCAGGGACAGTCTTGCACACACTCCCAGCTGAAAAGCCCTACAGTTTCTCTAATTGTGCTTGGCTCAGCTAAGCTCATAGCAGTGTGGGTCTTCTGCATACAAGCTCAGCCCCCTGATGGGGACCCGGAGCTGGGGAGGAGCTGATGGGGATACCCAGGACTCCAGTGCAGGAAGCTGGTGGAAGGCCGGGCCTGACCCTGCTGGGTCCCCAGGAGTGGGTGGGGATCATGCTGGGCTGGCCCCATGCGCTGGTCGGGGATTCCTAACAACCGTTAAAGCATTCCAGGGTTGAAAGTGGCCAGATCACCTGGGCTCCAGAACCCACAGACCCTGGGAGGCCTCTGGCATGGCCCAACACACACCTCTGAGCCACGCTTGCCCAGCCTCACTGTCCCCCTCCGCAGAGGTCTCACCCCCCCAGAACCAGCCAGGCCTGGGGAGGCAGGCAGGTGCGGAGGCCTGGAGTAAGGGGAGGGAAGCAGGGCCCACCTACCCAGGCCTGTCACCTTCCGCAGGCACGTGAGGGCTTGCTGCAGACGGCCACACTCCTCGGCACTGGCCCCGCAGCGCCGCAACGTCTCCTTCATCTTGGCCTCGTTCATCTCCAGCAGGGCATCCAAGGTGAGTCCTCGAGGGATCTCCTGAGGGGCACAGAAGGGACAGCCAGAGAGCCGGGTGAGCAGGCAAGCCTCACCATCCGCCTCAGCCTCCTCCGCCTGGCCAGGCCTCCTCCGGCTGAGTGGCAGGGGCCAGCTGCTGGTGGGGCCTCCGCCCAGAAGCCACCACTTGTCTGTGGACACAGGCAGAGCGCTCTCACCCCCACCCTCCGCTCTCCCAGAGACAGCAGCTGAGTGGAGACACCAGCTTTGGGGCATGTGGGATGGCGGGGCAACAGAAAGGCCTGGATGGGCGCGTGCTGCCTTAGTTTCTTGTTATTCTTTGGCACAGGAAAGTTACAAATAGTCACGACTTTTTAGAACGCAATGATGGCCCTTTACGACTGTATTGCATCTGAATCCAACAGCATGGGTTTCAAATAAAATTGGCTTAGCAAAAGAGGGAGAAAAAACAACCCTCACCAGGTACTGACAGGTCCTATTTAATGCAGTCAGATCACCCACTGGGCTCTCTAACTCCTGAGGGTCAGAGAAGCCACATTACCCGGACAGACTCACTCAGGTAGTAAGGAGAAGAAAGTGGATGAGGGGAAGAATTGTAAATTTTTTTTATACTGCAGACTGAACCCTGGGGTGCTTTGCCATTGAGCTATGTCTCCAGCCTTTCTTATTTATTTATTTATTAAGATAGGGTTTCACTAAATTGCTGAGGGTCTTACTAAGTTGTCCAGGCTGGCCTTGAACTTGCGATCCTCCTGCCTCGGGCTCCCCAAGATTACAGGCGTGTGCTATTGTGTCCAATTGGTTGGAAGAATTTTAAGATGGTCCTAAGACCTCCGTTCCTGGTGCTATTCCTGATTGTATTACATTACATGCCCAAAGGGAAACTGTCCAAGTGAGTCTGAGCTCATCACCAGAGCCCTTCAAAAGCAAGGGGTTCTCTCTGGTTCATAACACAGAAGAACTTGGTGTGGATGTTGTAGATGGAGAACAAGGGAAGAAATCAGGTGGGCTTTCATGTAGCCTCTAGGAGACAGGGTGACACCCGGCAGACAGCCAACAAAGAAATGGGGGCCTTGAACATACAGTCATGTTGAGGCTCAGAGTAGGAGACTCTCAATATATAGCTTTGCAATTTACTATTTATTTAGGCCATGCTGAGCAATTTGAGCTGAAGGAAATTAAAGGGTCTTAAGAGCAGGCTCCGAATCCAGGTTCCTCTAACCTTGGCTTGCTTCTCCCACCCAGGTGTAAGAGAGGTTCTCTGAGTTCCCTTATCTGCATTAAGACCAGATTGCAAGAGGGACCACTGCTCTCTCTGTCCCCATCTGAAATCCCACCATCTATTTCAGATGAGAGGACTTGGGACAGTGACCAGTGGCCTTCCACTGCAAGAGGATGTCAATCCCTTGGGCTTACTCAAATTTCAAAGAGAATGATTTCGCAAGCTAATTTTTGTCTCTGGGACCATCGATTCACCTAATTATCTCTTAGGATCTCTCAAAATTGTCTGCATTCCCCATTCTTCCCTTCCCCTACAGACAAAGGGGGATAGAAGCTTCGGAATCATTTTGGGCTAGTGGATAAGTACAATACGTGACTGACTCTGTGCCCGTAATCAGCTCATGTGTCTTTTCTCCAATTCCATCTGTCTCTCTCAGTTTATTCCAAGAAACCGTCAGAAGTCAGAGAGGAAATTTCACTTTGCTCCTAAAGTCACATGGAACTGGATTTTACCAATAACCTAAGTGAGCTTAGAAGTGGATTCTCCCCCAAAGTTTCCCTAAAAGATGCCTGCCTGGCTGATACTTGGTTTAGTTCTGTAAAAATATCTAAGCAGGGAAGGGAGCAGAGCTGGTTTGGATTTGCCTGTCCATCTTTTACCTACATAGCTGTGAGCTAACAAATACGGGATGCAAAAAAGGAACAATGATAAATAAATAAATATGTGATGCTTGAAGTTGCTAAATTTCTTATGCAGCAACAGAAAACTAATACAAAGGATGAATATTTGCGTCAGGTCTGACTCCAAAACCTGAGGTCTTTCCTCTTTCAAGCAGGTACAAAAAAGCCTGGAGCCGATCCAGAGAACCAGTCAGGTCCTTGGCCACTGGGAGCGCAGCCCAGCGTGGGTTGGGGGGTGAGTGAGGAGGGGGAGGTCATGCAAACAAGTAACGACAACACACTAAGATACAGGTGAGTACAGACAGAATGCAAAGAGCTACATGGCTGGATGGGGTTTTAGATTCTCCCCTTCTTTCCTTGTTTATTTTTTAGATTTTCTATAACAGGGAAGGCCAGATCTACCTTTTAGCAAATGATCCTATAAATGTCATAGCTCTTGAGAATTTAAGTTGATTTTCAATGACTTTTTTTTTTTTTAGCAAGTTGTGTCTTTATTTTATTTTTGATACCACAGATTGAACCCATTGGCACTTAACCACTGAGCCATGACCTCAGCCATTTTTTGTATTTTTATTTAGAGACAGATTCTCATAAAGTTGCTGAGGGCCTTGTTACGGTGCTGAGGCTGGCTTTGAACTCGTGATCCTCCTGCCTCAGCCTTCCACGGCACTGGGATTACAGGCACGCCACCATGCCTAGCTTCTAATTTTATTTTACTTATTTTTTTGATACTGGGGATTGAATTCAGGGGTACTTAACCACTGAGCCACATCCCCAGTCTTATTTTGTATTTTATTTAGAGACAGGGTCTCACTGAGTGGCTTCGTGCCTAGCTTTGGCTGAGGCTGGCTTTGAACTTTCGATCCTCCTGCCTCAGCCTCCTGAGCCGATGGAATTACAGGTGTGTGCCATGGCACCTGGCTCTAATTTCATTTTAGACTGTTCTTTTTGGTGGTATTGGGGATTGAACCCAGGGCCTTGTGCATTCGAGGCAAGCACGCTACCAACTGAGCTATATCCCCAGCCCTCTAATTTTATTTTAAAAGAGTAATTTCACTGTTAGTCTATTCAAGGTACTGTAAATCTCAGACCCAAGTGTCAAACTGAGCCTGATGAGGATCCGGGGGAGCCTGAGGGCCACAGCATGGGTCTGCCCTGCTCCTTCCCCCCACAGCACTCTGCTGGTTGTCTTTGTGCCTGGCCAAAGCTGTGGCAAGACTCTCAGCCAAGGAGAAACAGACATGGAACAGAACCAAGAAGTATATCTTCAGTGGGATAAAAACCCCTGGTTGTCAGAAATCCTTTCAGATGATAAAACCAAAAGCCACGCGTGTGTGGACGCATCCATCCCAGGACAGCACTAATTAGAACAGCACAGACGGGGCAGGCGATTAAATAACGACCCAGAAGTTTCCACTCCACCACTGCCTTCCCTTATCTCCTCCAGCACCTCTTCTTCATCACAACACAGTTTTGACATCTTTTCCCTCTCCATCTGGCCATGGAAACCAACTTGGCAATATCATCAGGCAAGATCAGCAGTGACCTTCAGCCTCACACACCTGCACGAGGCAACCTTCCACCCTGCACAGGATGGGCTGTCCTCCACCTGTCACCCACAAACACCCACACGCAGGCACAGGCCCATGCACGCCAAGGAGGACAAATGCGCATTTTCTCCAAGGCTATACGGACTCAGAAATTTTACGGAAAATGAGAGATCTGCTTAAGGGAACCGAGCCCAGGAATAAACTGCAACCTAACTAAAATGCAAACAGGGATTTTTTTTTTTTGCCTTTTTATTCCCCTCCTGCCTAGCCTGTACCAAGTTTCAATTTGTCAAATAAAATAATTAAATCCATTACTAAAAACGATTTGCCACACAGTCCGCCCAGCACTTTGTGTACACTACCCCCACTCTAACCCATTCAGCAAGAAGCTGCCGCTCAGTCCATTTGACTGAGACCTCGTGTGACTTAGTAGATGGCGGGGCCAGACCTGAAGCCCAGGCATGCCACATCCTAGAGCTCCTTCAATTATCCCAGGCTTGGATAATTGAAGCTTTGGGATGCAGTAGTTCCCTCTTTGAGGAAATTATTTTTTTCCAAATTAAATTGAAGCAATTAATTTCTACCCACTTTTCAAAAGAACTACATTATAAAATGGACTGTTTCTTTGCCCTTTATGCAAGTTGATTCAAGGAGAGAGCTAGAAGGCAGGCGCAGTGGCATGCACCTGTAATCCCAGTAACCCAAGAAGCTGAGGCAGGAGGATCACAAGGTTGAGACCAGTCTGGGCAATTAGCAAGACCCTGTCTCAAAATAAAAAGAACTGGAAATGTACTTCAGTGTTAAAGCATCTCTGGGTCCAATCTCCAACCCGTCCCACTCACAAAAAGACAATGTGTTCAAATCCATTTCTTCAAAATATAAAAAAAAAAATACATATATAAGAAAAATATTTCCCTGTAGTCTCAAGTTAGCTGGAAAATGTCTCTCACTCCCCTGAGGATTTGGGGAATCAGTCTTCTCTCCTCAAATAAGGCAAAGGGTGACCTTTTCTTTGCCTCTCTTGCCTCCACTTTTTGGTCCAGTTCACTGGGGGGCAGGCAGGGGTGCCAGGGAAAATGGCTACCTAAGACCCTCCTTAATGGGCGCTGCTCTGCATCTCCCAGGTGGGGCCTTTAGACTTTTGGTGCTTCCTGGGGTTTGAACTACACCTTCCCTCATCAATGAAATCAGAGTGCTCAGTGCACCATCTACACTGAAGAGCAGTAGCATTATTTCTGAGTGACTGTTCCACAGTCCAATCCTTCCTCCCTGCATCGGGATGATTAGATTGGAGCGGGGACATCGCTGCTCTGCTTAGAAGCTACAATCAATGGAGCTGGCCACTGTCAGCAACCGGTCACTTGGTACCACAAGGATCACAAACCCACATACCTTGGTCCCAGTCCCTGGGCAGAAATGGGGCCAGCAGGAACATGCACAGTCCCTGGATCTACCTTTTTAAGGAGATGCAGGCGCTCTCTGCTGTGACTAGCTGCAACAGCAATGCTCATGAGAAACCTATCCTTGCCCTTGCTCAAGTTTTGGAGGGACAAGAGGCCTTGTCAGAGG